CGTGGTAGGCAGAGTAGGCTGTAGTGTATTTGGTGGTGCCAAAGGAATATCAGAGTGGAGGTTCGTTTCTAAAATGACAGCCTCAAGTTGTGCAGTGTCCTCTGGAAAGAGAGTACTGAGGATTTCCTCAACCTCTTTGGAGGAGAGGAAAGCTAGAGTACCCTCCATTTCTTCCTCCTGTGGCTGCAATGATTCTAAGATGGAGTGAACCGAGGACCAAACTGTCCAAATGGCCAGCAGGATAACATGTCCCCTTCTATGAGCGATTTTAAACTGTCAGCCCACCTCTTCCCAGTCTTTAAGTTCTAGCGTTCCCTCAGTTGGAAACCAAGGGCAAATGAGATCGACGACCTCAAGGAGTTCAATTAGCTTGTCAGAGGAAACTGAAATTCCTCCTTCTTTAAGAAAGGTTTTTATGAAGTTTAAATAGGCCGAGTACTTAGTACTGGCTTGTCCCATGGTGTCCCCGAGATACTCTGAGTGCCCAAGCTTACCACCAAGCTTAACGACAGCAATCCTCAGCAATCTGTCATTGAAAGCCCTCCGCTGGGTCCCACACTTAAAGCGCAACTTCACACAGTGAATCCACGTTGGAGCACCAGATGTAGGGTCCAGCCCTACAGGGCTTTGCGGGTGTTCTCCCCGTGTGCAGAGATGATAGATTGTAAGAAATAAAGACACAAGGCAAAGAGATAAAGAGAAAACAGCTGGGCCTGGGGGACCACTACCACCAAGACACGGAGACCGGCAGTGGCCCCAAATGACTGGGCACGCTGATATTTGTTGCATACAAGACAAGGGGGCAGGGTAAGGAGGGTGAGCCGTCCAGGTGATTGATAAGGTCAAGCAAGTCACATGATCATGGGACAGGGGGCCCTTCCCTTTTAGGTCACCAAAGTAGAGAGGGAAGGCAGCATACGTCAGCGTTTTCTTTTATGCAGTTATAAGAAAGATCAAAGACTTTAAGACTTTCACTATTTCTTCTACTGCTGTCTACTAAGAACTTCAAAGAGGAACCAGGAGTACGGGAGGAACATGGAAGTGGACAAGGAGCATGACCATTGAAGCACAGCACCGTAGAGAGGGGTTTATGCCTCTGGATGACTGCGGGCAGACCTGGATAATATCCAGCCTCCCACAAGAAGCTGGTGGAGCAGAGTGTTCCCTGACTCCTCCAAGGAAAGGAGATTCCCTTTCACCGTCTGCTAAGTAAGGGTTCCCAGGCACTGGCATTACCGCTTGACGAAGGGGCCCTCAAGCAGCCCTTATGCGGGCATGACAGAGGGTTCACCTCTTGCCTTCTAGGTCACTTCTCTCAATGTCCCTTCAGCACCTGACCCTATACCCGCCGGTTATTCCTTAGTTATATTAGTAATACGACAAAGAGTAGTATTAAAAACTAATGATTAATAATGTGTATACTAATGATTAATAATGTCCATGATCATCTCTATATCTAATTTGTATTATAACTATTCTTCTAATTATTTTCTCAATTATACTGCAACAGTTTGTGCATTCAGTCTCTTGCCTCGACACCTGGGTAATCCTTCACCTACACTTCTTTTAGAAATAAATGTTTTATAGTGCCTTCAAGTTTTCTCTTTTATTACTAATATTTTATCTTGTTTTATTTTTATCACAGAAAGGGGGATATTAAAATATCCTACTGTAGTTATATTGCTCTCTATGTGTTTATTTCTGTCAATTTTTGCTTTATATATTTGAAAGCCAAATGTGAGATACACACACATGCGCACACACACACACACACAAATTTGTTATGTTTCCAGTAAATGAATCTATTCTTGTTTAATTTCCTTCTTTGTCTCCTTGTAGATTTGACTTAGAATACATTTTTAAAAATATGACAGTTTTTGACTTATAGCTCATGTAATAATATTATTTTGATCTCTTCTGCTCTCATTTGGTTAATATCTGCATAGAATGTTTATGTCCATCTTGCCACTTTCAGTCTTTTTTTGTCATTAGATCTCAGCCGGCACTTGCATGAAAACAAGTTGGATTTTGGTTTTTAAAATTTTTTAGTAAATCCTTTTATTGCAAATATGTCCCTTGATTGGAAAGTTAATTGTATATATATGTATTTAAATAATTTTTCTGAAACAGAAAATCTTAATAATTTTTTGTTTTATTTGATTCTTGTATTTTTGCCCCTCATTTTCTCTCTTTCTTTCCTCTCTTGTGTCCGTTTCATTTTTGTGTTAATGTGCTTTTATTTATTCTGTTTTGTGTATCTAAACATATATTCTTTGTGTTACCTTGGGGTTACACAAAACTTCTAAAAGATATAAGGATATATTTTAATCTAGTAAAAAATGAACTTTAGTTGAATACAAAAATTCTTCCTCAATTTTTTATTTCTATATTCCCTAGAATTTTTAAAAATTTTGTGGAATAATTTACAATGTTTTTTGCACGATTATAATAATGGTAAGACGTTCATTTTTGTGAATGTGCAGAAAATAATGTATTTGTATATGATTATGTGTTATTTTCTTTTTTTTTTTTTTGAGACGGAGTCTCAGCTCTGTCGCCCAGGCTGGAGTGCAGTGGCACGATCTCAGCTCGCTGCGAGCTCCGCCTCCAGGGTTTACGCCATTCTCCTGCCTCAGCCTCCCGAGTAGCTGGGAGTACAGGCGCCCGCCACCTCGCCTGGCTAGTTTTTTGTATTTTTTAGTAGAGATGGGGTTTCACCGTGAGAGCCAGGATGGTCTCGATCTCCTGACCTCGTGATCCGCCCGTCTCGGCCTCCCAAAGTGCTGGGATTACAGGCTTGAGCCACCGCGCCCGGCGTTATTTTCTTTTTATTTATTTATTTATTTTTTGAGATGGACTCTCGTTCTGTCACCTAGGATGGAGTACAGCGGTACAGTCTTGGCTCACTGCAACCTCTGCCTCCCTGGTTCAAGTGATTCTTCTTCCTCATCCTCCTGAGTAGCTGGGATTATAGGTGTACACCACCGCACCTGGCTAATTTTTGTATTTTTAGTGGAGACAGGGTTTTGCCATGTTGGCCAGGCTGGTCTTGAACTTCTGACCTCAGGTAATCCGTCTCAGCCTCCCAAAGTGCTGGGATTACAGGTGTGAGTTGTCACACCTGGCCTGTGTTATTTTCTTGATTCATGTTGTTTTCGGTGGAAGAAACTGCTTTCGATGTCGTTTATACATAGGGCACATGCAGTGCCAATATACTTTTTCAGAATTTGATTACTTTGGAAGGTTGTTTCTCTTATTTTTGTCAGGAATGATTTACTGATGGTATTATTCTCAGTTGATAGCTAGTTTTTCAGGACTTTGACTATATCACATAGTTTTCTTCTGACCTGCAAAATTTTTTTGACAATTCACCAGTTGTCTGAAAGACTATGCTTGTAAGTGATACAGGACATTTTTCTTGCAGTCTTCAAGATTCTCTTGTCTGTGACTTTTAAAAATGTGCTTATATATGTGTTTGCTATAAATATCTTTGTGTGTATCCTAGTTTGTTTGTTGAGCTTCTTCATTTTTAGTTTTTTTCTTACTTTTAGAATTTTTTAGTTGTAACTTCTTTTCCTTTCTTTCTTCTTCCTTTCCTTTCCTTTCCTTTCCTTTCCCTCCCTTCCCCTCCCTTCCCCTCCCTTCCCCTCCCTTCCCCCTCCCCCCTCCCCTCCCCTCTCCTTTCCTTTCCTTTCCTTTCTTTTTTTGAGATGGAGTCTCACTCTGTAGCCCAGGCTGGAGTGCAGTGGCACAATCTTGTCTCACTGCAACTTCTGCCTCCCGGTTTCAAGCAGTTCTCTGCCTCAGCCTCCCGAGTAGCTGGGATTACAGGTGCCTGCCACCATGCCTGGCTAATTTTTATATTTTTAGTAAAGACGGGGTTTCACCATCTTGGCCAGGCTGGTGTTGAACAAGGCCAGGCTGACCTTGTGATCCACTCGCCTTGGTCTCCCAAAGTGCTGAGATTATAGGTATGAGCCACCACACCCAGCCTTTAGTTATAATTTCTTTTTGTATTTTTTACCTCCACAATTTTTTTTTGATATTTTAATACTTTTGTTAACTTCATTTTTCTGTTTTTCTATGGTTGTCTGTGTTTTTATTTCACTCATTGAGTATTCCATTTATTTTCAATTTTTAAAATTAATATATACATCTTTTTAATAATTTCTTTCTGAAAATTTTATAATATTCTTGATGGGACTGTAGTGACCTATTTTGTATACATTGTAATCTTTGAGATTTGGACACTAATAAAAGCTACCTGTCACAATATTTATAGTGTAGCCTTGTTCTGGCATAGTCTGAAAACAGTTGTCTTGGTTAGTGATTCTGGGAGTCTGTCAAACAGGTTCTTATGATGTGTCTTCCCTGAATTTAGTGTTTACTTTCTAGTTAAAGGAGTTTATTCATGTTTCTTCTCTATAGTCATCACTTGCTACACCTGTTCTCTGTCTGCGGCACTGCAGTCTCTCTACTGCTGTAACATTTACCTTTAGTCTCAGTAGACTCAAAGTGTCATTCCAAAGTATATGACCAGTTCTTTTAGCACTTTATGTCATTGAAGACAGAAAAAAGTGTCTGGAAAAGCCCCTAGAAGACAGAAATAAAGACGTATGTGCCAGTATTTTACTTGTCTTTTAAACAAGAATTCAGGAGCTCACAATTTACTTGTAAAGGCTCTTTGCTATATTGTGGACCTGGAAGAGCTGTTTGGGGTAGATACAACAAACTTTTCTCTTCATCATATGAGGCTCTTTGCATTGTGCTTACCTGGGGCGTTGCACATACTTAACTCATTTGTAAATTTTCCACAAATGTATTTTGGTCTGTATGTTTTTGTTACATTTATATGTCTATGAAGTAATTATGGCTTGTGGCATTTTGCCATGCCATCTTGCTTATGTAGTTTGTATAATTTTATAGCTTAGAGTTGTTAAGGATATCCATCTGAGTCCAGTAAGTGAAGCAATTTGTTGTTGTTGTTGTTTTTTTCTCAGTTGTGTGTTCTCATTTTGCCCAAGACCTATGGCCAGAGCAGGGCATAAAAGATTCTTTCCAAAAAGTAATACTGAAAAGATATGGAAAATATGGACATGACAATTTACAATTAAGGAAAGGCTGTGAAAGTGTGGATGAGTGTAAGATGCACCAACGAGGTTATGATGAACTTAACCAATGTTTGACAACAACCCCAAGCAAAATATTTCAGCAAAATATTATCAAAATAATTGATAATTATGTGAAAGTCTTTCATAAATTTTCAAGTTCAAATAGCCATAAGACAAGACATACTGGAAATAATTCTTTCAAATGTAAAGAATGTGGCAAATTATTTAGCATGCTTTCACACCTAACTCAACATGAAAGACATCATACTAGTGTGAATTGTTACAAATGTGAAGAATGTGGCAAAGCCTGCAACTGGTCCTCAGCCCTTATTCGACATAAGAGAATTCATACTGGAGAGAAACCCTACAAATGTGAAGAATGTGGCAAAACCTTTACTGTGTCCTCAAGCCTTATTCAACATAAGAGAATTCATACTGGAGAGAAACCCTACAAATGTAAACAATGTGGCAACGCCTTTACCGGGTCCTCATACTTTGCTACACATAAGAGACTTCATACTGGAGAGAAACCCTACAAATGTGAAGAATGTGGCAAAGCCTTCAGCCAGTCCTCACACCTTACTAGACATAAGGTAATTCACACTGGAGAGAAACCCTACAAATGTGAAGAATGTGGCAAAGCCTTCAGCCAGTCCTCACACCTTACTAGACATAAGGTAATTCACACTGGAGAGAAACCCTACAAATGTAAAGAATGTGACAAAACTTTTAACCTCTCTGGACACCTTACTATACATAAGAGAATTCATACTGGAGAGAAACCCTACAAATGTGAAGAATGTGGCAAAGCCTTTAACCAATCCTCAGCTCTTAATACACATAAGATAATTCATACTGGAGAAAGACCTTAAAATGTAAACCATGTGGCAAAGGATTTAGCCAATCCTCAACCCTTCCTAACATATGATAATTCATACTAAAAGGAAACCCTACAAATATGAAGAATGTGGCAAAGCTTTTAACTAGTATTCAACCCTTAGTAAACATAAGATAATTCATACTAGAGAAAAACCCTACAAATGTGAAGAATGTGGCAAAGACTTTAACAAGTCCTTAATTTTTAACAGACATAATCTAATTCATACTAAAGAGGTACCATAAAGCTTAAAGACAATGCTTTTACCAAATTTCAAACTTTTCTTAACATAAATAATGCTGGTGAGAACTCCTAGAAATATGTTGTCTCACTTGATTGTAGGTAAGATACTTTATACTGGAGGCAACTCCTACAAGTGTGAAGAATGTGTCAAAACTTTTGACACCTTCTTAATGCTCACACCTAAAGTGTGATAAGCAAACTCTCTGGTTTGCTAAATGCTCACACTTTTGCTCACACCTTAATGTACAAGAAATAATTTACATTTGAGACAAATTATACAAATATACAGAATGTGACAAAGCTATTAATATCTGCTCACATCTTAACATCAGAGAGTTAATACAAGCATTAAAGGTGCAATTACTATCAAAAGATCTTTCAGAAAATATAAACCTTTAAAGTGTATTAAATTAATTTCTGTAAATTCTTATGGCTTACAGCTCAGAATCTCTTCATGAAAATCCTGTTTTTACTTTTCTGGTACTCAGATGCATGATTTTCTTGATTCTTATTTCTTTTTGTTTTATAGTGTATAAAATATTTGTTATGTTAGCTGGTCAGTTATAGGAATTATTTTTATGAAATTTAGTAGTACACACAAAATAATTTTCAAATGTAATTCCATTAGTGTATTAAGTTTTATTTAGTTAGAACATTCCATTTTGTTCTTTTAAGGGCAGAAAGTTATATAAGCCTACTTTTTTTTTTTTTGGAGGTGGACTTTCACTACTATCACCCAGGCTAGAGTGCAATGGCACAATCTCAGCTCACTGCAACCTCCACCTCCTGAGTTTGAGTGATTCTCCTGCTTCAGCCTCCTAAGTACATGGGATTACAGGCATCTGCTACCACACCCAGCTAATTTTTGTAATTTTAGTAGAGATAAGGTTTCACCGTGTTGGCCAGGCTGGTCTCAAACTCCTGACCTCAAGTGATCCACGTACCTTGGCCTCCCAAAGTTCTGGGATTACAGATGTGAGTCACCGCATCCAGGGAAGCCTACTTTTATTTAATTACTGTGTTTTTAAAAAAATTTTTACAATTGACATAAGTGAATTTATTTATCGAGTCAATTTGTTCAGGTAAATGCTAGGGAAGTTTCATAAGCATGAGGATGTTTTTATATATGAATGTATCAACCATGACAGTGCTTGCTGTGTAACAGATGCTTCATAATAAGGCAGAAATATTTGTGCTGAAATTAGTTCGTAACTTTGAGTCAGATATAGAAAATATCAGCTGAGTGTGGTGGCTCACACCTGTAATCCCAACTTTGGGAGGCTGAAGTGGGTAGATCACCTGAGGTCAGGAGTTCAAGACCAACCTGGCCAATATGGTGAAACCCCGGCTCTACAATAATACAAAAATTAGCCAGGCATGATGTCAGTTGCCTGTAATCCTAGCTACTTGAGAGGCTGAGACACAAGAATTGCTTGAATGCAGGAGGCAGAGGTTGCAGTGAGCTGAGATAGCACCATTGCACTGTAGCCTGGGTGACAGAGTGAGACTCTGTCAAAAAAAAAAAAAATCAATGATGAAAATATAACACTGATTTTTGATATGGAGAGGACACTTTTTTCCAGACTATAAAGCTGAATCATGCTGAATTTAAAAATAAACTCTGCTGCTTTAATTATCTTCTCCCCCCCCCCACTTTTTATGTTTATTCTAACTATGCATGTATCATAGCCCTTTTTCTTCTTGTTCTGTTATGGCTGCAGGTTCTCACTGGTGTCTATATACCATGTCATGTCACATGGTACATTGTAGGTTCTGATGAGAAAGTTGGTACTCTTTAATGCACTGAAAAATTGGTTTTAACCAGAGAGTTTGCTTATCAATATAACTTTCAGATCAGTTAATTAAAATAAAAGATTTATACTTTCCAGAAGTGAGAAGAATATATCAGTTAGCATGGTTTTATTTGTTTATAAAAGAAAAACCAACCAGGCTTGTTGGCTCAAGCCTGTAATCCTGGCAATTTGGGAGGCCGAGGCAGGTGGATCATGACATCAGGAGATCAAGACCATCCTGGCCAACATAGTAAAACCTTGTCTCTACTGAAATACAAAAAAATTAGCCCTGTGTGGTATTGCACGCTATAGTCCCAGCTACTTGGGAGGCTGAGGCAGGGGAATCATTTGAACCCAGGAGGCAGAGATTGCAGTGATCCCAGATTGTGCCATTGTACTCTAGCCTGGTGACAGAGCAAGACTCTGTCTAATAAATAAATAAATAAATAATCGTGTTAGATTCTCACATAAACTGTGGAAAATGTAGTGTACTAAAATATGTATCTTAGAAATTTAATTTTTAAGAGAGTTGATTGTAAGTGAACAATTTCAAATTTACTTTTTTATAATATAGGACAACTACTTATGTTTCTATGCAGAATTTTTAGTTTTTAAGTGTGAATGTTAAAGTTGGCAAAATAATAAAATGACATCTGTGGACTTGATATTTGAAGTAATATTTTTTTTTTTCATGTTGATATTACAATTTGGAGGAATTTCTCATTTTTTCTAGTCTACAGTTTTTATTCTTAGTCACCCAACTGCAGTCAACTCCTTGGTCATTTTCTCTGGAAAACTTTTGGAGAACATGGCTGCTTTTGGGTTAAAATATTTCCTGTTACTTCGCATAAAAGCTAGTTTACTGTGTTCACAGAGTGGCCATTCATGGGACCATAAGCAACAACTTCACCTTTTAGTGTTTTTCATACTATTACCATCAACAACAGAAACTCCAGGTGCCCCATGCTCGAATTAAAAGCCCTAACTTACATTGGCTCTTCCCATACACTCTGCTGGATCAGAAAATGCTGTTAAATATCAGAGTTCTTCAGCCGGGCATGGTGGCTGATGCCTGTAATCCCAGCACTTTGGAAGGCTAAGGTGGGTAGATCACCTGAGGTTAGGAGTTCGAGACCAGCCTGGCCACCATGGTGAAGCCCTGACTCTACCAAAGATACCAAAATTAGCTGGGCGTGGTGGCAGGCGCCTGTAGTCCCAGCTACTCAGGAGGTTGTAGCAGGAGAATTGCTTGAATCCAGGAGGTGGAGGTTGTAGTGAGCCAAGATTTTGCCATTGCACTCTAGCCTGGGTGACAAGGGCAAAACTCCATCTAAAAATAAATAAATAATAAATAAATATGAGAGTTCCTATGTTCATGGCTGACAAATGACAAAAACAGCACAAAAACTATATATTTTTGATACTATTGAGCTGTTAATGACAAAAATACAGTATCTGAAACATTGTTATTAATATGTAATATATAATTATATATAATATATTTATAATATATATATAATTATAATTATTATATATAATACATATAATTTTATATAGAGAGATAATTTTTAGACAAGAATCTTGCTCTGTCACCCAGGTTGAAGTGCAGTGGCACAGTCTCAGCTCACTAAAACTTCTGCATTTCAGTGTCAAGCAATTCTCATGCCTCAAATTCTTGAGTAGCTGTGATTACAGATGTGAGCCACTGCATACAGTTAATTTATATATACACACACACACACACACACACACATATATATATTTATTTATTTATTATGATTTTTTTTTTTTTTTGAGACAGTCTCGCTCCGTACTCCAGGCTGGAGTGCAGTGCAGCCTCTACCCTCTGGGTTTAAGTGATTCTCCTGTCTCAGCCTTCTGAGTAGCTGAGACTACAGGCATGCACCACCACTCCTGGCTAATTGTTGTATTTTTGGTAGAGACATGGTTTCACCATGTTAGCCAGGCTGGTTTTGAACTCCTGACCTCAAGTGATCTGCCTTTGCCTCTCAAAGCACTGGGATTATAGACATGAGTCACCATGCCAAGCTAAAAATATATTTTCAAGTTGACAGATAAAATGCGTATTCTGCAAAACAATATTTTGAAGTTGTATACATTGTGACATGCTTAATTCTAGGTAATTAATGCTTTACCTCACATAGTTAATATTTTTGTTGAGAGGTCACATGGCATTGTCTTAACATTTTTCAAAAATAAAAATACATTATAATGAACTATAGTCACTGTGCTGTATAACGAATCTTTTGAACTTATTCCTCCTATTCAACTATAATTTTATATATTTTTTTCCAACACTCCATTTCTTCTAAATACCTTGGCATCTGGCATTCACCTTTATATTCTCTACAGCAATAACATTGTTTTTTAGAATTTATGTGTAAGTGATATCATAAGATATTATTAATTCTGTGCCTGGCTTATTTAAATTAATATAATGTTCTCCAGGTTAATCCATGTTATTGAAAGTAGTAGAATTTTCTTTTTTAAAAGATGAATAGTATTGTATAAGTATACCATATTGTCTTTATTTACACATTAGATGTCAAACTATTGACTGTATTTTGGCTATTGTGAGGAGTGCTGCAAACAATATAGAAGTGCAAATGTTTCTTCATCCTGATTTTATTTGTTGTGGATATATGTCCAATATTGAAATTATTGTATTATGTAATAGTTCTGATTTTATGTTTTTTTGTGAGATCTCTTTTGTTTTTCATAATGGCTGTCCTCATTTACATTAAAACCAACTGTGGAAGCATTCCTTTTTCTTCACATCTATGACAAGACTTTCTTTTATTTTTAATAAAAATTCTATCAGTAGTGAGCTGATATCTCATAGTTATTTTTTGGGGGAGGCATGCCTTTCTCTGATAATAATTGACATTGAGCATTTTTTATTATATTTTTTGGCTATGTATATGTCTTTTCTTGAAATTATTTAAGCTTTTTGCTTATTTTTAGTCGTTATTTGTTTTTTGTTGTATAGTTATTTGAGTTTGTTATATTTTTTGATATTAACCTCTTGTCACATGTATGATTTGCAAATATTTTGTCCCATTTTTTAGTTGTCTCATTCTATTCTATCAGATTCTGTGCAGCAGCTTTTTAATTAGAAGTAATGTGAGAGCCCGGCCCAGTGGCTCACACCTGTAATCCTAGCACTTTGGGAGGCTGATACGGGTGGATCACCTGAGGTCAGGAGTTCAAGACCAGCCTCATCAACATGGTGAAACCTCCTGTCTACTAAAAATACAGAAATTAGCTGGGTGTGGTGGCGCTTGCTTGTAATCCCAGCTACTTGGGAGGCTGAGGCAGGAGAATCGCTTGAACCTGGAAGGCGGAGGTTGCAGTGAGCCGAGATCATGCCACAGGACTCCAGCATAGGCAAAATATCGAGACTCCATCTCAAAAAAAAAAAGAAAAAAAAAGTAATCGGAGTAATCTATTTTTCATTTGGTTATCTGGGATTTTGAGGTTAAATACATTCACTGCCCACGCCAATGTTATTGTG